AAGTTGAAGAGGTAAGGTCACAGTATGCTAAAAGTTTCTTCAAGAGTGCGGTATGCAGTTAGTCTGTTGGCGGCTTAAGTATCCTCATCGGTCCACTTCTGTTTTCAATCTTTACAACATTCTTCATTTGTTACAAATGCTGTATTTTGAATTGTAGGATGCCGATGTGGATGAGCTGAGAGAGAAACTTACCGACGAGGCGGAGATGGAAGGTGAAGTGTTGGCTCGAATCTCCGATCTTATCCACAACATGTTTGAGGTGGGTTTCAATAAATGTTGTTGACACGGAAGGATCCTGAGAAATTCGCTTATAGACATTTGGAGAGGCGTTCTTTGATTGCGTGGAGCCGTTATTACCCAATTTCGTACAGCTGATCGATTTCCATCGCGCTTATCCATCCCGGCAGTATGGTGTTTGCTACATCGATGACTGTATTGAGTTTGCGCCAAGGGTAAGCTTTCTGATTCCTCATACTCTAGAGGAATGGTTTAAATGCGCTTGTGTCCGACTTTCCTTGAGTTATACGGACATCGATCATATCGAACACAAAATTGCAGAGGTGTGCGAAATATCAAGAACAATTCGTACCTCTTATGCTCAAATGTCTTGCGGATGATTATCCGGAAGTTCGTCAAGCAGCTGCATATGGGTTTGGAGTGATGGGTATGGTTGGCGGAGCGGAATATCTGAACACAGTCACACACGCCCTAGAACCTCTTGCTGCTATGGTGAACAGGTGGGGAGGCAATACTGTGTTAACCTTATTAGCTAGATTACTATACTGTATTGACGATCATTTCAGTCCGGAAGCGCGTCTTACAGAGGAGAGTTCGGGTGCTACAGATAATGGTATCGCGGCGGTAGCGAAAATTTTGAAATATTCCGGTGCCAATATAGATATCACTCAGGTAATGCACTTTCCTCCATTCCTTTTATCTTATTCGTGTGAGTGATTTGCGAAGCTGAATGGTGAACTTCTAGGTAGTCCCTGCCTTCTTGTCTTGGTTGCCTACTCATGAAGACGTGACGGAAGCGCCTCATATCTATGGTTATCTTGCTGACCTTATCGAGTCCAATCATCCTGCTGTACTTGGTGATAATAACAGTAATTTACCACGGATCGTATATATAAGTGGGTTACATTCCATTTGCTGCATAACTTAGGATAATTACAAGTGCCATTACAAATGCTTTCCATTTTCAGTAGTGTCAGCATTTCTCCTCGAAGCTTTTCCACAAACTGATGAAGGTAACGCAGTTGCTCAACGGCTACAACACATACTCAAGGTGCTCCATAACAACACGGAAATGTTTGAAGCTGTTGTTCAAGCAGCCAATCTTGACGAGAAAAGAACCGAAACCTTGCGTGGCCTCATCTCGTGATAATTTGGTCGTGTTTATCGTTTGTTGTCACTTCAATAGCGAAGCTATATGTCGGTTGTTGTTGTTGGTTGACGTAACACGTCAATACGTACTGTGTCCATGCTCTCGGTTTTTGACAGTTGTTCTTTACTCGTTGAGACATCGTGTTGTGAGCGATGTCCTAGTGCCTCGCAAATGCGTAAATCCATAACTAATACAAAGACTTAAGTGAAGAATTAGATTATC